TAGTAGTAGTACGTAGTAGTAGTAGTAGTAGTAGTAGTAGTAGTAGCACTATAGTACTAGTAGTAGTAGTAGTAGTAGTAGTAGTAGTAGTAGTAGCACGACTATTACTATTACTATTGCTGCTACTACTACTACTACTACTACTACTACTACTGCTACTACTCCTGCTGCTGCTGCTGCTACTACTATTACTCCTACTACTGGCAGTAGCAGCCGTAGTAGTCGCCAGCTTTTGCGACAGATCAAATCTGAATCTTCCGCTCAAACCCGCATCTGCTAAGCCCGCACACCTATATCCCGAGCCTTTCCCACTTTGCACCAGTAAAGCTTTAAATCGTCCACAGCCCACGCAAGAAATTCAAGGAGATTTATCTACTGTAACACCATCAACGCATGGGTTCTTATCAGACAGGGGGCATGTTGAAGAACATCTGCAAATCTGGGGCTTGTGACTTGTGTGACAGGCTCCCATGGACGCTGGAGTGTTTTCATCTTCAGGGTCGGAGTATGATGCCGTGGCGCCGGCATGCTTCTTTGTACGCATGGCTGGGAGTCTAGACCCTGATACAGGGCCTGATTAATCCTAACTCTCACTACTTTGACACTTTTAAGGTCGACTCAGCACTCGGGGTTTACAATCCGATTCTCAGACAATGTCGGCGTTTTTCCATTCCTTCACAAGCCCGTTTTGGAGCTAAAGGTTCTGCGTCCAGCAACCAATCCGCCAGCTGCGTACAATATGCAACTGTTTGATTTCTGGGGTCTCTGGAGTATGAGCGTAGGGCCTAGGGTTTGGGGATTTAGTGCCTTGCCCTGTGGCGGATTCGTAATTTTAACTGTATGTAGAAGATCTTTTGTTGCGCCCTAAACCCTATAATAACCCACTAAACTGCTAAACTCCTGAACCTCCAACCCTTCACACTAACCCCTACAACCCTAAACCCCAGTACCCTCAAACCCTTCACACTAAACCCTAAAAGCCCTAAAAACCTAGCCTAAACCCTATAAACCTACACCCTGGAGCCCTCAAGCCCTAAGATCCGAATCCGGCCCCATTTCAGAGCATGACGTGGGAGTTCCAGAAAATAGGAGGCTCGAGTGTTGACCTTCAAAAAGTAGTAGGATCTGTATTGAGGGTTTAGGGTTTAGGGGAGTAGGATCTGTATTGAAGGACTCCTGAACAAGGTAAGAGAAACGCTAAGGCAACGTACCTCGTCGTACTTGCATCCTCGCCAGCCTTGCTCCAGCTCTGAGTGCTGAAGCCTTGAATCAAGTTAAACATTTGTTAAACCCTAAGCCTAAAGTGCCCTAAAGCCCTAAACCCTTAAACCCTAAAACCCTCAACCCTAAACCTAAAGTACCTTAAAACCCCAAACCCCAAACCTTAAACCTAAAGTGCCCTAAAACCCCAAACCCTAAACCCTAAACCCTAAACCCTAAACCCATGAGACCCTGACATGTCAGGACCCTGCGAGGAGGCCCGGGTCTTTGCGAGCCTCGGCTTTAATTTGACTCACGAGTTCCAGGCTTTGCGAATTCATGACTTAGGGCTTTAGGGTTTTAGGGTTTTAGGGTTTAGGGCTTAGGGTTTAGGGTTTTAGGGCTTTAGAGTTTTAGACTTTTGGGGTTTTAGGGTCTGGGGTTTTAGGGATTAGGGTTTAGGGTTTAGGGACTTAGCCTTGGGCATCTCGCCATGAGT